TTGTATTATAAAGTAATTAATTTATTCTTTTGTTTTTATTTTTTGTTAATTCTTTTTTATAAATATTTTATTTGAAATATTAAATATAAATTATTAATGGAATAATTTATATTAATATACTGTATTATATTAATATAATATAATAGTATATTATATTATTAATGTACATTAGTCGACATAATAGGAAAAACTATCTTTTTTTTTGGTTATTTAGACCGATTTGGTCGACATTTCCGAAATCTAGGAAATGTCGACCGAAATAATGTAATTTTTATATTACCATCCATTTTCGTGTCATTGAGCCTCAACATCAACATATGTCAGGCGACATTAGCAAAATGTCGCAACATTTGAAACCATGACTGGCATGCAAATCACGGATATGTTGGGCAAAAGAATCAGCAGAAGCAGAAGTACGAGCATTAAGAGGCAAGGGAACAAGGTCAATAGGTGTACGAGGGGTAAAGCCATGGACAATCTCAAAAGGTGTTTTGCTGGTTAATCAATTGACTGAATTATTATAAGCAAATTCTGCAATGGGCAACACCGAGTCCCAACTACCTAAGTGCTCACCAACTAGACATCTAAGTAAATCTCCTAAACTTCGGTTAACAACCTCAGTTTGACCATCAGTCTGTGGGTGAAAAGCAGTTGAGAATTTCAACTTGGTACCCGTGAGTTTCCATAATGTTTTCCAAAAATAACTGACAAACCTAACATCCCTATCGGACACAATTGAAGTAGACAAACCATGGAGCCTAACAATTTCCCTAAAAAATAGTTTGGACACATTTGAGGCATCATAGGTTTTATGGCAAAGGAGAAAATGGGCCATTTTAGAAAACCTATCCACGACCACAAGGATGGAATCATGTCCTGTAGCTGTTCTAGGTAAAGGACTGTGGGGTATAGGTAAAGGTGTGTATAATCTTGTGTTCCTTTTTTTGGCTTTAGCTAGTTGACGTGCTCAACATTGAGACACAACTCTAGTAGCATCCCTCTTTAAAGATGGCCAATGAAATCTATCCTCAACAAGAGCAATAGTTTTATCTCAACCAAAGTGACCAGCTATTCCTCCGGCATGTAACTCCCATATTAAAAAGTCTTACGAGGAACACACAGTTTAGATCCTCTAAATAGGTAACCATCATGAATCACAAAATCCACATAATCGTGTCGATTACCACTCTACACATCAAGGGAAATGATGCCAAAATCTGGGCAAGAAGGGTACTCGTCTTTCAACTTTTCAAATCTATCACATTGATGTTGGTTTGTTCTCAACACCTGCACGATGTCTTAGCTTGAATAAATTCAATCCACCTAGCATGTCTAGCATTGAGATTACGTTGTGAAAGCAAATACCACAAAACCTGATGGTCAGAATATAATACAAATTCTTGAGGTAATAAATAATGCCTCTAGTGTCGGAGTGCTTGCACCACTGCATAAAACTCCTTATCGTAAGTGGAATATTTGTGTTTAGCCTCAGTGAGCTTCTCACTAAAATATGCAATTGGATGGCCCTCCTGGCTTAGAACACCCCCAATTCCAACTCCCGATGCATCACATGCTACCTCAAAATCCTTATTAAAATTAAGAAGTTGGGGACAGGTGTTCAATCATTTTCTTTTTTATCTCTTTGAATGCCTTAGAAGCAAATGGGGTCCATTGAAATTTCCTTTTCTTAATACAGTCGGTAATAGGAGCCATAGTGGAGCTGAATCCTCTAATAAATCGCCTATAGAATGTAGCTAATCCATGGAAACTACGAACTTCAGTAATGGATGTGGGTTCTGGCCAATCTCTAATGGCTTTCACTTTAGAAGAATCTACAGCTGCACCTTTGGCAGACACAACAAATCCTAGAAAAATGACCTTTGACTACATAAAATGACATTTCTTCAAATTCATATATAATTTTTCAGCTGGAAGTGTCTCAAGAACTTGCCTAAGGTGATTGAGATGCTCTTCTTTAGAATGACTGTAGACTAATATGTCATCAAAATAGACCACCAAGAATTTTCCAATTAAGGGCCATAAAATTTGAGTCATAAATCTCATAAAAGTACTAGGTGCATTAGTCAAGCCAATCATAGAGCCCATTCTTTGTTTAAAAAACAGTCTTTCATTCATCGTCAATTCTAATCCGGATCTGGTGATATCCACTTCGAAGATCAATCTTAGAAAACCATTGTGCACTAGCCATGTGATCCAACATATCATGAAGTCGAGGTATCAAGAATCTATATTTAACCATGATCTTATTGATTGCACGACTATCAATACACATTCTCCAAGATCCAACTTTCTTAGGAGTTAATAAGGCTGGCAACAGCACAAGGACTTAAACTCTCATGAATAAAACCTCTTTCTAAAAGTTCATCCACTTGTTGCAATTCAGCATGCTCCTTAGGGATCATCCTATAATGCGGGAGGTTAGGCAATTGAGATCTCGGGACCAAGTCAATGGCAAGTTTAATGTCCCTCAAGGGTGGTAATTCACTTGGCAATTCTTCTGGGGCCACATCCTGGAGTTCTTTCAATAGGGTTGCAATCTCAGGTGAATTTATAGTTGATTCTACAGAAGCAACCCTAGCATCTTCTTTGGCCACAACAAATAAAACTAAACCTGACTCTGCCTTCCCTTTCAAATTCTTTTTGAGTTAGAATGCACAAAGGTTTCCTTTTTGGAGGGTCAATCGGGAAGACCTTTTTAGATTTATCCTTCTTAGATGGTTTGGCTAGTTTCACAAGAATAGATTTGCCATTGTGCTTGATGATGTATGTATTTGATCGACCATAATGGGTAACATTCATATCATATAACCATGGATGCCCTAGCAAGACATGAGCAACATCCATAGGCAGAACATCGCACCAGATCTTTTCTAAATAATCACCCATTTGGATGGGAACCAAACACCTCTCAGTTATGGGTAAAGAAGTCTTATCTACCCAAGCTACTCTATATGGTTGTGGGTGTGGTTCAGGTTTGAGCTTCATTCTTGATATAGCAAATTTGGATACGACATTCATGGAACTGCCACCATCAATGACAACTTTGCACACAGCATCCCCACATTTGTAATAGGCTTGAAAACGGCTAGTGTGCCTCCAGTCATCTGTCTTAGTAGGAGTGGACAGAATACACCTCATAACACTAGGGTGACGATCATCAATACAACCTTGGTCCTATTCAAATTCAGTGTCAGAGGGTTCCTCTAAAGACTCAACAACTTGATCAACATCTTCACCATCAAAAGACTCTTCTACATCTGTTCCTATGGTTAAAGTTTGAATTGGACAACGTGCAGAAACATGTCCATTATCATGACAACTAAAACATTGAATGTCAGATCCTTTTTGTTGTGAACTAACAATAGTGTTAGTGTCGGTTCTCTGAATAGAATTGTTACTACCACTAGACATCGTTGGTTCTGGTTGTGTAGGCCTATTGGTCCTCTAAAAGGACACTGATCTAGACACGGTTTTGGGTGCTTGGGTCTCTATAGCTTGGGAAGACATATGACAAAAGGTAGACAACCTTTGGAACTTTTCAAGCTCTAAGACCTTATGGTAAGCCTCTTCTATGGTGTCAGGAGAATGCAAGTTCAATTTCCCTTTTTAGTTCAGGTCTTAAGCCATTAATGAACTTGGTGAGAGTTACCCATTGTTCTTCCCTTATATCACATTTCATAGATAAATTCTTAAATAGGTTAAGATAATCGGTCACACTTAATGATCCTTGTCTCAAATGCATCCATTGCTCCAATAGCTGCCTTTTATAATATGTGGGAAGATATTTTTCCTTCAATTTAGCTTTCATTTCAGCCCACAAAGTGATGAGTGTCTCACCTAAACGCTCAATGTCTCGTTGAGCCCCTTGCCATTATTGCTTATTAGACCCTACTAGCTTTATCTTAGTAAAGCAAACACGTTCGGTATCAGACATGTTATACCAATCAAAGTAGTCTTCCATATCTGCTAACCAATCTAAGGAAGCACTAGGGTCTAACCTGCCATCATAACTAGAAACATCTACCTTGACCTTCTTTGTGATTTCACCGTCCTTAAGGAAATCTCTTCGGTCATCTTGGATCTAGCATTGACAACGTGGAGGAAATCTATCCTAATGTCTACCATGATACTGCCTATATCTAGGATAATCCTCAAAGTCACTCTCTAGGAATTCATCATCATCAGCTAGTTCTTGTGGGTTGTTGGTATGGTATCCACTACCTAACACCCTATAAGATTGCACGCGAGTATGTCCCAAGTTTGGAGCTTGACTCTCCCTACCCATATTCATTTGTGGTTGATGAATCCTAGTAGTTGGGGTTGGAAGAATGCCCGGTTGTTAAACACTATAACCTAGTGATTGACCATTTCGATAATTCAGCATTGGTAACCATGATGATAGGGAATTAAGGAAGGGTTAATGGAATGAAAGTAAAAGGATGCAATGCCAATATAAACAAAATATCACAAATAAGTAATCAAAACTCTAAACTAATGCAAGGCACTCTTAGAAATCAAAAATTCTGAAAAGAAACTATGGGTGTGAGATACACATAGGAAATAAGAAATAAGTGGTTTTTTTTTTCTGAAAGAAAGAAAGATGAGGCACACAATAATAGGTTATTGATGGAAAGATGGGTATATATGTATTTTCAGCTTTCGCAAAACTGCTAAGGACCTTATTGCACTAACCAACCTATTCAATAGATAAGGAATTAATCCAAACACAAATGGAGAAGATATACCTTTTCGAAGTCCTTAAATTACCTATTCAACCTGTGAGGTGTTTCATGGAATTTTGGCCAGAACTGAATACACAATTCTTGGACTGGTGACCTCTAGCTTTTGGATTCAGCTACAAACACTTTTGTGGTTCTCATGAAGGGACACGTGCTGTTGGCTACTAGCAATGTTGAAGACGAAGGCCTTTGGGTTTCGTAGTATGATGTGATTATGAGTCAGTTTGCAAAGACTAAAGGCAGCAATTTCCCAACATTGTTTACAGCTCTGTTTCTACCCAAGAAGTTGTTTCAGCTGCCGCTACACTATGTTCTTTACTTTAAATTAGTGGCTGGGTTTGTGCAATAGAAAGATAGGAGAGAGAGACGTTGCTGGCAGAGTCTTTTTTTAGCGTGGTTGCAGTAGAGAAAATAAAGAAAATAAAGGGAAGAAGGAATAAGAGAAGAAAAGGAAGAAGAGAATGAAGAAGGAAAATAGGGGGCGGTGCTGAATATATGAAACAGTAGGAAAGGAAGAGGGAGGCAAAGATAGGAGGAGGCAGCGAAAAGGGAGCAAGAAGAGGCTAGAAGACAAGAAGAAGAGAGGCAAAAGAAGTAGAGACAGCAAGAACAAGAAGGCGAAGAGTGGAAGACGAGACAATAAGAACAAGAAGAGGAAGACTGGAAGAAGAGACAACAAGAACAAGAAGAGAAAAACTGGAAGAAGAGGCAACAAGAACAAGAACAAAAAGACTAGAAGAAGAGGCAACAAGAACAAGAATGTAGACAACAAGACAAGAAGAAGAGAGTGGGTGAGATCACTACTGTTAAGGTTCTGTTATTGAAAACGGAATTTGGAAATAAGGAAAAGAAAGAAAGAAAGAAAAAAGATTGAGAGGGAGAGAAAGAAACGGTGACTGTTGTGCAATTCGGTTGCAGAAAACAGTGTTGGGAGAGGAAAGGAATGAGAAAGAAGGTTGAAGCAAAGAAGAAGGAAAGAGACTAGAAGAGAGAATGATAAAAAAGAATAAGGAAATATAGAAAAGATGGAAACCACTGACCCCTATTCAGTCGGTGGAAATAGAGGAGGAAGGTGGCTGAGATGCTTTGGTTCAGACGTGAGCAGAGGAACATGGAGCTGAGCTCTGAACGAGGATATGAAAGATTTCTATTTCTCAAAAACATAATGTCATACAGCCTTAACATAATGTGTATTTATAAGAAACCTAGAACTAAAAATTATAATTAAGTCCCTACCAAATGTGAAAGTTTCACTTAACCCCCAATGAAAATTACAAATAGCCCCCTTACTAAGAAGAAATTTTACAATTAAACCCAAATTGTGCATTAATCAAAGTAACCCTAAGCTAATGCCGTCTACGCATAAAATAAGTATGAATTCTATGTGGTGCTTTAGTCTCAAAGTGATCTCCATCAGTGGAAAGTATTGCAAAGGACATAAACACTGAATTCATATGAGTGAGAAGGACTGCAAATGGATGGATGGCCGACTCCCTTGCTAAGCAAGGGATCTTGAGGCAGCAATTGTTTTGGGCTTCTATGTATTTTTTAGTTGTTTTATAGGGTTGGCAGTCCTGTCAGCTGAATGTATAAATTTCATCTTTCTTTAATTTAATAAATTAATTTCTTCTGCTGGTAAAAAGGAACAATGAGATAGTCCCATTCCAACCTATCACATGCCTTAGGGGCTGTTTGGTAACAGCTGAAATTTCTTAACCGAAAGACTGTTATTTGTCTTTTACTTAGGGCTGCAAATGGATCGGATTGGATTCGGTAAGTGCATATCCGATCCAATCCGTTAAGAAAATTCAACTGATCCAAATCCGATAAGGATCTGTCGGATTTTCAAAAGCATGAATTTGAATTCGAATGTATTATATAATATCTATATAATATAATATATAATATTTCATAATTAACGGATCGGATTGGGTCACAGCGGATTGGATCAGCCAATATCCGAATTCAATCCGTTAAGTTAACGGATCGGCTTTTCCGATCCGATCCGATTTGTTAGGATCAAGAGGGATATCCAAATCCACCTCTTAAAGGATTGGTATCGGATTCGAATCGGATCTGATCCGACTTATTTGCAGCCCTACTTTTACTTAAAACAACCCAGAGTTTGTGATTGAAAAGAATCATAATTACTTAAACAAGCCCTTCTCCTATTGTTTGCCTCTCTTTTTCAGAGTAGAACAGAAAGAATTAAAAAGTAAAGGAAATAAAACAACTGAATTGCATGGAATTTAGCACATTCTCAGGATTGTAACTAGTTACCTGTTGCACAAACCATCAAGGCATGGACATCTTGAAGTTTCTCTAGATATTTTCTGCCCATCAAAGTACACATCTGAAGGTGAGGTTGATCCTTACAGCATCAGCATTGGCACGCTTTGGCACTGAGTGCAGCCAATCCCGTTGGGTGTTGCCTCTCATAACCAACAATGACCCGTGCTTGAGCATAAAAGAGTGCTGATCAGAATGTTTATTCTGCCTTGGTTTCTTACTTGCTGGTTCCCCTGCACATCTAATAGCTTGTACTGTATAAGAGAAAAGAAATACATTCCATTTAATTGTAGGTAGTTACCTTCATTCAAGGAAAAACCAATTTTCCAAATGAAAAAACATGTTGATGGAGCTAGACATGATATTGAGCTATGTCCAAAACCTAGAGAGAAATTGTACTCATTTTTGGAAATAATTAGGTTGCTCTTGGATTCCAAAATCTAACAAAATACTTAAACAATTCTTCAAAAAGGAAAAAAAAAAAGAAAAAAAAAAGAAAGAAAGAACCAAATGCTAAGGGATAGAAGTACATTACAATTTGGTCATATCCCATCCAAAAACAGATAAATGTGAGATGGTGGGCATATTTATGAGTTATGATGGGTTAAAGGTATCATGAACACTTTTTACTAGCACTGCTTTTTTATTTGCTGTCTACTATTGTGATATTTACTTGTTAATATGTAAGGGAGCCATTTATGGCAATGGAATTATTTGGTTGTTGGGGTTTAGAATTACCCTCTTGGTTATTGATTCAGAATTTCAGATTAAAACTATGGGAATATGCACAGAGAAGCGGAAAGGATTAAAACTATGGCATGGACTTATTAGATAGCGCAATATGACCTAAATGTGATCATAGATACAGTAAGGATTCAGTTATAATTACAAGTACAAATACTAAACAAGTGAAGACTCTAGTTCATGCCTTGGGTGATTTTGCTGGTTCTCTTCTTCAATAAGAACTCCCGCTCACATCCGAAGGAAACTGAAGCAATCTCAGGGGTTGGCCCATACAACTTCTCATCATCAGAGTGCCAAGCAACGTAATCAGATCCACACTTGTATCTGTTCAGGAGCAGGCTATTAAAATTACTCCCTGGTAGAGCTTCATGAACCTTCACAATAAACAAGTGAAAGCATAAGCATAGGTAAGTAAAAGAGAAAAAGATAGCTAGATGGTTACAATAATACTGAAAAATGCAGTACTTAGGCAATTGTGTTTAAGTGTTCTTACTGCAGCCAAGATGTTTTTAAGTGGAGGATAATCATCCCAAGAATAAGCATGTGGCTGATATCCACTGTAACAAAGTTCTGGCAACCCTTCACTGGCAATATAGCATGTGTCTCTAGGCTGCAGAGAATGAAATATCCTCATATGTCAACTTCCATGAAAAGGTTTAAGAAACAAAATATTGGGATATCCTATGAGAACTACAAATGCCTCATGGAAACTAAAGGAATTTAGGAACTCCAACCTTGTCGTCAAGATGGTCCCTAGAACTCTTGATATCAAGTTTTGCAACAGTATCCTGTTATATCTCCCCTCTAGCCATATTACAGTATTAAAATAAGATTGACAACCATTGTCATTATTATTTGCAACAATTACCACCACTCATATCATAAATTTTGGCAAGTCCAAATGGGCAGCCTAGACGATGCAGGAGCTAATGAATCAAGTCTAGGATATTTTGAGTTTTTAAGTATTCTTGCATTTTTGGTCAATAGTACTCTCATTTTCTTTTTGATCAGTAACAATCAACTTTTATAAAAATGTGAACAGGATGTACAACTTATACAGAATTACAAAATAGAATGTAACAATCAACTTTCTTTTGATCAGTAACAATCAACTCTTACATCAGCTCCCCCCATGAAATCTTTCACCAAAAAAATTCAGTTTGATTTACTCCTTGCCTTGCGGAGACATCAGCCATACAGTTCGCAGTTCTAGGAACCCATTGGACTGTAACATTCAACTCCTTTGCCAGTGATTTGATTTTCCCTAGGATAGTACTCTCATAATTTTTCAATAGCCATTTTTTATTATTTAAGTACTAATGATTTTCCTAGTTACATTGGCAGTTCATTTTCCTATTTACATTAGGAATCGGTTTTCCTAGTTGGATTAGTAGTTATTTTAGTAAAAATTATGTTAGTAGGTTAGAGTCATAGTTTTAAGTGAGGATTTGTCATATTCTTAAATTAGGAATTATCTTATTGAATTGTAAGTCAAAGCCCTAATAGTCAACTAGAATGTGTCCTATTCCTAGTTAGTTAGTTTGTGGTGTTTCTGAGTTGGTTCCAAAGTACGACAACAAGGGAGAAGGGATGGTCAGGTCAACCTTCACCCTCTTCGCCTATAAATGTATGTATCTATGTAAGCCCTTTTTTCCTGCTAATATTGGAGTTATTCCGACACATTAAATGCAATGTTTTAAAAGGCGTGGGAGGCATATGCTTGGAGGCGCACCTCCAGGCGGGGCGCTCCCAAAACGCCCTAAGGCGTATGCCAGAGGCGCTGACACCTTTGAGGCGTACGCCTCAAGTGCAGAGGCATACACCTCAAGTGCAAGAGGTGTACGCCTCATGCGCTTTTTTCATGAGGCGTGCTAGAGGCGTACACCTCATGCACATCTTATATAAAAAGACAAGAAAAAAAAGAAGAAAGAAAAAAGGAAAGGAAAGGAAAGGAAAGGAAAGGGAAGGGAAGGGAAAGAAAAAGAAAGAGAAGAAAAAAAAAGAGAAAAGAAAAGGAAAGAAAAGAAAAGGAAAGGGAAGGGAAGAAAAGATAAGGAGAAAGAAAGTGGTAATGCATCTTTATATAAAAGATTTTATTAAAAATAAAGAAAAAATGTTATTAAAAATAAAGAATTTTTATTTTTCAACTAATGTTATGCATCTTTATTCTTCTTGATATAAAAGATTTTTATTAAAAATAAAGAAAAAATGAGATCCCCCCTTCCTCTTCATCCTCCTCCCCTTCCTCCTCCTAACCCCCCTCCTCTTGGTGTTCGTGTCACGCCTCCGCGTTTTAAAACATTGATTAAATGTTCTTATTTCTTCAAACTCTTGGTGTTGATGTCAAGTTGCTGCTGCTGAATCCAGCAAGTGTTATCCTCTTCCATCATCTTTCTTCTTTATGTTTGCTGCTTTTAGATTATTTGCCTTAGAAATACCCAGTTCACACCTAGAAACCACAGATCCCATCCTCACTTCCTTGTTCATAACAAATCCCTCAAGGTACAACTAACCACACCCTTCAGCATATTTATAATTTTTCCCCTTTAATTTTCTTTGTTCAGAAATAACAAATTAATAAAAATAAACAAATGATAAAAGGAGATGGATGCTCTTGTTAAGAACAATACATGGAAACTAGTTGACCAGCCTGAGAGGAAGAAACTTGTTGGGTGCAGATGGGTGTCTACAGTGAAATATAATGTTGACGGTTTTGTAGAGAGATATAAGGCCAAATTGGTTGCAAAGGGATTCACACAAACTTATGCCATAAACTATATGGAAATCTTTGCATCAGTTGCCAAGATGAACACTATCAGAGTCCTACTATCTATTGCTACAAATTTCTCATGGCCATTGTTTCAGATGGATGTCAAGAATGCATTTCTCAATGGAGATTTGCAAGAGGAGGTGTACATGGAGTTACCCCCTGTTTTTTACAGTTCAGAAGCAAGAAAGAAAGTTTGTCAGGTGAAGAAGGCTTTATATGGGCTGAAATAATCTCCAAGAGCCTAGTTTGATAGGTTTAGACTGGCTTTGGAAAGGTTTGGTTACATGCAGGCTCAATCAGATCACACTCTCTTCTTTAAGAAGACAGACTCCTCCTTGACCTTACTTGTTGTCTATGTGGATGACATTGTGGTGACGGGAAGTGATATTAGTGAGATTGGCTCTCTTAAGCAGCATCTTCACAAGGAATTTGAAGTGAAGGACTTGGGTGAATTGCGTTATTTCCTGGGAATTGAGGTAGCTCAATCTAAGCATGGCATTTTTATTTCTCAAAGAAAGTATGTTCTTGACTTATTAGAAGAAACTAGAAAGTTAGGAGTAAAGCCTACTGACACACCCATTGACTTGAACCACAAAACAAGTGCAGAAGGTGGAGAACATCTTGAGGACAGGGCTATGTAGGGGTAAGCATTTGGTTTATTCGGTTAAAAAACAAACCAAATAAACTGAAAATTTTAAAACCGAAATAAAAAAAATGAAAACCGAAACCGAATTACAATAAAACCAAAATAACCAAACCGAAATTTTTTGTTCGGTTTTCAATTATTTCGATTAAAAACCGAATTTAATTAATATATATAATATAATATATTATAACCTATAATATATATTATGAAATTTCATTATAATACATTATAATATAATATATTAATATATAAATATATAGCATATTATATATTAAATGTTATATATTATATATTATATATTACATATTACATAATAAATTTTAGTTAATTCGATTTTTTCGGTTAACCGAATTACTAAATCTGAAAACCGAACCGAAAACTGAAATTCTTAAAAACCAAATTACCCAAAAACCAAAAAAAACCGAAACCGAAACTTTCGATTCGGTAATTCGGTTTTAACTGAATAATGCTCACCGCTAGGGCTATGTATCAAAGGTTGGTTGGGGAACTTCTTTATCTTTGCCTAACACAACCAGATATTTCATATGATGTTAGTGTTGTTAGTCAGCACATGCATTCTCCTACAACCACTCACCTTCTTGTGGTGGAAAGGATACTTGCTTACTTGAAGAGATAGAAGTATATACAGATGCTAATTGGATTGGATGTATTGATGATAGAAGATCTACCTCTAGGTATTGTGCATTTGTAGGGGGAAACCTTGTTTCTTGGAGAAGCAAAAAACAAAATGTTGTTGCTCGCTCTAGTGCCGAAGCTGAATACAGGTCCATGGCCAATGGTGTTGCAGAAGTGTTATGGCTGAAATCTTTACTTAATGAGTTAGGGGTTGACTATGAGAAACCTCTGATGTTGTATTGTGATAATCAAGCTACAACTAACATTGCCCACAATCCAATACAACATGACAGGACTAAACATATCGAGGTGGACACACATTTTATCCGAGAGCGAGTTGCATCTCAAGAAGTGTGTCTTCCCTATATTGCCTCAGACATGCAGCTAGCTGATCTCTTTACTAAAGCAGTACAAAAATCAAGTTGGAGACAGATTTACGCAAGTTGGGAATGACGAATATCTACTCCCAACTTGAGGGGGAGTGTAGAGATAGTTGATAGACTATTAGTGTGTGTGGTCTCAGCCCCACACTTTATTTTACTGTTTATTTCTTTATGTTACAATTATGGTAGTTGGGCCGGTTGGACCATATTTATTTTCTTTCATTTTAAGCAAGGGTATTAGAGTAATTCTACTTCTTGTAAAGTCATGAATATAAATAAGATTTAATGGAGCGGCTTGAATGATCTAACCACACCCTTTCTCTTCTTTCTTCTCTTCTCTCTTCTCTCTTCTTCTTCTCTTTGAATCTAAGTTGACTCCTTTTCTTCTCTCTAAATTACATCAGAAAACACATTCTTTTCTGGTTCTTTTATTCAAGTTTCCAATGTAGAGGGGGCAGAAAACAAAGTTTTGGCCGTAAAACAGCTAGAAATGTCTCTTATGGTGAAACAAACAGAGCCAAAGTGTAAAATGTAAATACCATTTTTTTTATAAGTATGTAAAGACCAATATTTGGACAATGGTAAATATTGACGAGCATGAAGAATTTATACAAAATGCATTCCAAACAATGAGCCATATTCCAGTATAATCTTATAATTTACAGCCAAAACTTAAAAACTTTATGATCAAAACTGAACCTTGCCATTCCCCATTAATATCATCCTTCACGACATAGTTAAATTTTTGCTCTCCCCCACGAACTCATCTCTCAAACCTATAACAAATTTTCTTCTCTTTGCTCCCTTTCTAACCATAAGCTGCTCACATAGCCACATTGAGGTGCATCAACAAATGAGGAATAGGTTGGACCCCATTCAAAAGGTGTCTGCTTCAAGTGAAACTGAAGTCATCGGCTATGGCACATTGCACTACTAGGTTTCTTTATCAATCTGAAAACTAAATGAGCTATACAATTCCTAAACGACAAAACTCAGATTGAACTATTAAAAGAAGGTTGGGCGTGACGCGCCCTCAACATGATTACCACCAAAATCACATATGAAGAGTGAAAATTGGTAAAAGAGCAGCCAAAATAGATGAAACTGCCAAAAAATAAGTAACAGGAATGGCACTCTTTGAGTCTCTTTATGAAGAGATGCAAGGGAGGGCGCGAAGAAACCTGGATGCAAGATCGACCGAAGACACGAATCGAAGGTCTTGTCCATGGAATCTCTTTATTGAGGTAATGGAACCATTTCCAGGAATCATCAAACGAAAGAAACCGAGGTATGTAAATGACTTCACTTCCGTTACCCAAATCAAAAGTTTGCCTCTTTCGCGTCTCGCTGTCGCTGCTGCTGCTGCTAGGGTTAGAATTCCTCGCCTCCGATCCTACTTGACGCTTGAAGGAATTCATCGAAGACACGTAAGAGACAAGCGTCCGCGGGAGATTCAAAAATGTTTGTTTAGCACCATTCACAAACACAGACAGTCTACAGAAGTGACGGAACGCGAAATACCCTGCGAAAAATCGATCCACGGCCAGGATTCATCCCACCTGTACGGTGGGATTCAGATGGACTGAACTATAGAAACCTCTAATTTTTAATACAAATGATCGAGATTAAAGTATTTCAACTTATTTCTCTTTTCCATCGATAAAAGGAAAGTTTTAACTATAGTTATTATAATAAAAAGTATAATGAAGGTGTAGAATTTTTTTTGACTAAAATGTTTATATTTGTTATTTAGTCCATCTCTAATTATGAAGATTAAAAATGTAATTTTAATTAATATTTTTCATCTTATTTAATTTTCTTTCATTAACTTTCTTAAATTAGTTCTCATTCTCTCTTATTAAATCTCATATTTAAGTTATGTTTTTACTAATAAATGCTACTAATTAAGACTTCAAATCAATCCTCCACAAGATTGCCCCCACAGCGTCCAATCTCCGCCATGTATTGGGAACATCTCCCAATGATGAAATCATCATGGTATTATCATTGGGAGATGTTCCCAATACACGGCAGGGATGTACTATGAGACATTTGTGTGGGGCTGATTTGATTTCACTAATTAGATATATGTCCAATACTTTTAATATATAAACCTGTATATTTTAAAATTTACTCAAAAACAAAATCATTATTTATCCAAGTGATGACTAAACAATTCAAGTATCCAAATTAAATTGATCAACCCATGAAATCATAGTTAGATAATAAAATTTTTAAATAGAAATAAATATAAAAAATTACAAAAAATATATAAAAAATAGACACATTTATGATATTTTTATTAATCAAATTTAAAAAACAAGTGTAATAAATAAGAATTATTTTTATTAATGATGAAAATGAAATACATAATCTAAAACTAACAAAAAATTAAATTATTTTCCTATTTAGTAGAGATCAATATTTCAACTTTGGGTCAAATCTATCAACCTTAAATATCATAATTAAATAATAAAAATTAAAAAAACATAAAAATAAAAAATACATAAATTTTATAGAAAAAAAAACATTTGGGCACATGGATAATATCATATATTTAATATATCAAACAAAAAATAAGTGTAAATAACAATATTATGTTTACACGCATCGAAATAAACAAATTATAGAAAAAATTGAACACATCTATAACTCTATATTTACACTACTATTAAAAATATTGTGGAACTTTATTTTGACTAAAATACTTATTTTTTGAATTTAATCCCTATTTAATTGAAATGTTTAAAATGTAATTTGAACTACAATTTTCACCTCATTCAATTCTCCCTCTTTAAATCTTACATTTTTTTAATAAATGAACAAAAAAGTATACACTCAGAAGATGAAACATTAAAAAAAGAAGAGTCCAGCCAAATAGGTAGGCCTGCCAATGATACCCAAAACTTTGTAGCCCAATTTGAGGTGCTTACGTAATCAAATTCAGATTTTGCAATATACATCCGATTAATAGTGAAAAACAAAAAATATAAAAAATATAAAATACATGAATCTTATAGAAAATTTTGAATACATTATTCCTATCATTATCATCATCTAGAATTGCCACGTGCACACTTTTATATATATATATATATATATAACAAGACAATCCATGTCACCTTGCTTCTCCTTGCTCCATTACCCCAACCTTACATTCTCCTTGACTCTCTCTCCTCTCCCCACTCCCACCACTCCCAATTTTCCATCTCAGCACCCTCTCTCTTCATTCCTCTCCCGTCCCATTGGGTTCTCTCTCTTCCCCCTCACAACTCACGTCTCTCACTTTCTGTAACAACCTAACTTCTCTCTTTAATTATCTCAATATATGTTTTATCATCTCCTTCACTTCTATCTCCAATTCCCCTTCAATCTCTCAACTTTCCCATAAAAATAGGGTCATAATTTATTAAGATTTGGTTTTCCAAATCAAACAATATTTATATCTATAGACGTGATTTCAAGCAAAAAAAGGGAAATAAGGGGAATCTATTGTTTCCTGTATACTCATGGCATCTTCCATTATTGTTAAATAATGCATTAGTTATGAAAATTATTAAAAATGTGGAAAATATTCTACCAAAATTACGAAATAATTATTTCAGAAATAATCCATTGTTTAACAAATATTAAATAATTTAATAATCTACCAAAAATTAAGAAACAATCCATAATTCAATCATTTTTTGTTATTAATAAATGTTCAGAATTTCAGCGTTTAACATAAATTACATTAATCGTTGTAACTTAATAAATTTCCATTAAATTTTTACAATAATAATTTATTGATAAAATATATTACTGATTAGCATAATTTACTAATTTCTATTAAACCAATAATTATAGTTAAGAATTATCAAATAATTTAGGGAAACTCTTTAACTAATAACCCATAATTATTTTTATATAAGTAATTAAAAATTAAGAAATTAATTTCTAAAAAATTTATTCTCCAAAACTATTTAAATAATAATCCATTATTATTATTCAAATAAATAATTATTAAAAAATAAAAAAATTAAATTAGAAAATTAATCTATCAAAAATTGTTTCATAATTATTTAAATAACAAGCCATTATTATTATTTCAATAAATAATTATTAAATAATTTAGGAAATTTACTAAGTTTATCCACACCGATCTAGACTAATTGGTTGACTTCGATCATACCTGATTTTACATTAATTAACAAAAAATGGTTTACTTTCAATTAAAAATAATGTAAATGTAATTTTCCATAATTACATTAATTTACTATAATTACATTTACTTTGATTAATAGTAAATAATTTAGGCTTAAAAGTAAATAATTTACATTAATATATTGTTATTGTAAATAATTAATTTACTATACATTACTACTAATCAATAGAAATTTCAATATATTTTTTGAAAATTATCATAAAATATTGTAACTTATTGTTATTTAATTTATTGTTAGTTAATTAGTCTTAGAAAATTATTAGAATTGTAGGGATTACAATTTTCCTTGTAAAATCGGGGCCCTACCCTGCCCTGCCTTAAACGGGGCAAATTTTCTCAAATCTTAAATGAGGACGGGGCAGAGATGGGGCGGGGATAGGAAAAATATTTCTACCCCAAATTAGGGATGGGGTTTGCATATAATTCCCCTAACCCGATGGTAAATTAGTAAAATATCCATAGATTTAATATTGATATTTAAAATATCTCTAAGTTTTCCTCATATTCTTATAATCTTAGGATCTCATAATTTCATTTATAAAATACCCTCAAATTGTCATAATCTAATTCCTAAAATACCCCCAAATTTCCATAATCCTATTCATAAAATTTCCATAAATTAGATTTTTTTAGGTGGTTGCCTCATGGTAAGGAAAATTTGGAGATTCCCCATTCCCGACGGGGAATGAGTGCCTCACCCCAAACCCACCCCGCCATTGGGATAGGGGCAGGGATGGAGTAGAGTGTCTTGACTTACGGGGGGGCAAGGGGCAAGGAGGGATGCCCTATCCTGTGCATCACACAAGCCCCCACTAGTAAATATAAATTGTACAATAGATCATCGATAGCATGTTATTGGTCATTGGTTAAAGCTTTGGTATTATCATTTTAAAATTAATAATAAATCAGTGACATATAGGGTCATTGAAACCTAACTAGTTTTCAATGGTTTTCACCGGATTTTGGTGTTTTTTGCCCTAAAAAATTTAGAAAACCAGGGTTCTAAATGCCATTCCTAATTTTTAGTCTCCAGTTCGACTCAAGTCTTACGACATTGATTCAGACAAACAGATACTAAAACAGATCATGCATCTTGACCAAATAGGCGTTTCGATCTGCAAAGGAGAGGTTGCAATACTCAAAACAAGTTGTGTAACTCCTCCTAATTCTACTAAAAAAACAAGTTCATATCAATGTTTTTGACCGGTTCCGTTTTACCCTAAACCCGGTTTTGGTAAAAAACCGTTGAAATAGTCAATGAACCGTTGACCTAGATGGTTTGACCGTTGAACTTGTTCAACCCAGAGAACGGTTTGCAGTTTATTAAATAAGAGCAAGACTCAAGAAGGAAAAGAGAAATCTCTCAAATTTGAGATCTACTAGAGAGAGAGAGAGAAGTTGAGGGAGATCTCATATCTAAGATCTACTAGATGTGTGAGACAATGAGAGATTTGAGAGATCTGGGAGAGAAGGTTAAGAGTCTAGATGACATATTAGAGAGAGAGAGAGAGAGAGAGAAATGAGACCGAGAGAAATCTCAAATCTACTTGCTCACCGCCACTGTAGTTCCCCATCGCCGTCACTATTGCCGCTATAAGTCACCGCCGTTGTCGCTGTTGCAGCTAACCTCCTTCTCCTCTTCCTTCTTCTTCTTCTTCTTCTTCTTCTTCTTCTTCTCTCTTCTAAGCTCTCTCAACCATCGATAGCTTCTCACATTCTCAAACAGTCAAACCCTTTTTATCTTCTATTTATATGCATCTTATCCTAATATTCCAATCTATTGGGTAAGATGGCATATCACCATTTATAACATTTAAACTGTTCGAACCGTTTGACCCAGATGGTCGAACTGTTGACCCAAAAACCGGTGGCCGGAACAGTTCCATTTCCGGGTCAGTTTTTAAAACCTTGGTTCATATCTTATCATATGATAAGCAGGTTTTAAACTTCCACAGTCTAGTTATCAAAAAATGAAAAAAAAACCACAATCCAGCCTGCTTTCAAATAGAATGCGCATACTCCCCGATGCATTACATAAGGTGTGCCACATCATCTTATCAATGCAGGTTTGTATACGATTCCTTGATGGGTCATAGCTTACAAACCATCCTAAAACGAGTTCACATCTGGGGGCGCCCCACAACGTCCCACAACACATCTCCACCGTGTATTGGGAATATCTCCTGATGATGACATCATCATTTCTGGTACTATCATCGGGAGATGTTCTCAATACATGGTGAGGATGTGCTGTGGGACATTGTGGGGCGCCCCCTTGTGGGGTGCAGACTGAACCCT